TTATACAGATATAAGCATAACAAAAAAACAGATCTGATTAAACCATTACTGGATATTTACAATATCACAAATACACTACTAGGTATTATCATACAAAATGTATAAACATGTTAATTACTGCAGATACATACAATATCACAGATACACTGACAGATATTAAATTTACATTTACCATAAATACCATGACACATACCCCGGTATTTACAAATACATCAGATTTTATAAATACATTGACAAGCACAATGTATTTACATACAATATCTGTCACAAATACACTGGTGGGAATTAAATACATTGTACATACACAATACCAGACATGATTACAGGTACAATATCATAAATACACTGACACATATTTACAGATACAATGTACATCAAATGTCATTAAAACCTTACAGGTATAATTACAAATACATGTACATAAAGTACGATATCATTAATATGCTATTTGTATGTACATACTCTGTACAACTGCACTAAAATAAATAAAGTCTTTTACATCACAATGGTGAGAAAAAAATATAAAAGTGATTGAATATCAAACTTGGTTTGAAAAAGATAAAACTAATTTGGCATAAATAAGCACTTAACTGATAATTTGGCCACAAAATATTTATAAAGTTTCAGTAACGACGAGTTCAAATAGTCTGCAGTGTTTTATTTGTGTGTGTGCAATAATATTACTTTACTAATTTTTATAATAAGCCAGCAGTTGTGAGGACCAAATACTTCATAAAAACCTTTTTTGCATTTTCTTGAAGACGAATAGAATATTTCAACCACTTGGGTGTTAGATAAAAGATTCTCTTACCCTGGACAGGGATATCCACCATTTTACCGGTGTGAGATTTTCTTATCTCCCCCTAGGGTTGAGACAAGCTGCACGTGTTCTTTGCACGTTCTCAACAATTGTATGACGTCATAGCAACAATACCATGACGTCACGGCAACAATACAATGATGTCACGTCGACAATTCAGCCGGATCACATCAACATTGTCTTGCATTGATGTAACGTCTATATAAAATACATAAGAGGGTAAATAGGGTAAGAGAAAAATAATCATTCACCCCCTTGGGAGTGATACAGGGTGATCTCAACCCTCGGGGTAAGATTCTTAAGCTGTCAAACGCTCGGCAAGCCTCGTGTTTGACAACTTAAGAATCTGACCCCTCAGGTTGAGATTACCATGTCTCACCCCCAAGGGGGTGAAAGATTCTAATAATCTTAACCCGAGATGGAAGATTCCTAACTTCTGAACCCTTCCCCTGAGGGCTGTGATTCTTTTTCTCCTGTTAACTCTATTATATACAGTGCCATGTTAACGTTACCGGCTCAATTTATTGCTGATGTGACGTTAGGGGAATCCCCCCGTCTCAACCCTAGGGTGAGACAAGGATATCTCACACCGGTAAAAGTGTGGATACACCTGTCCAGGGTAAGAAAAAATCATGTCTTTAAAAGTTCTGGTTTAAAATCACTGATAAAAAGTTTTGGGTAGACACAACAAGAGGCCCATGGGCCTTAACGGTCACCTGAGTCCTACGGTATTTATTTTTGTTGTTGAAACATGTACCAACTTGAGTAAAAAATAGTTAAGTATAATGTTAGCTTAACTTTGTCAGGACCATGAGTCGGTCATTCCTACCAACTTTCAGTTCAATCGGCCAAGTAGAACTTGACTTTAAGTTTGAAATAGTTTTTCAAAATGGCGGCCGGGGCGGCCATATTTTATGTCTGATCGACCCGAAATATAACAAAACGTTGTCAGGACCATGAGTCGGTCATTCCTACCAACTTTCAGTTCAATCGGCCAAGTAGAACTTGACTTTAAGTTTGAAATAGCTTTTCAAAATGGCGGCCGTGGCGGCCATTTTGGATTTCTGATCGACCCGAAATATAACAAAACGTTGTCAGGACCATGAGTCGATCATTCCTACCAACTTTCAGTTCAATCGGCCTAGCAGAACAAGACCGAGGATTCACCCTTTCTGATAACCAGCCTCAAACAGTTCTACGCAAGATGAAAGATAGTAACACTTTTGAAAGTTTTAAGCTTGTACCAGAATCGAACACTGGCCATATACAAGTAAGACCAGAGGATCTAGGGTAGTTGAGAGATAATAATAACACTTTTGAAATTTCCAGACTTGCACCAAGAATCGAAAACTGGTCATATGCAAGCCAGACCAGAAGATCCACCTAGAGACCAATCTGTCTGTTTCACATTTAGATGATGCAACAGTTTGAATGCTTGCTCCTCTATCAGTGAAACAACTGGTGATTTTCCATTACAGAGGTACTATATAAAACTGAAGCAACAAAGACAAAATACATAAATCAGCAACGAGCCACAAGCTCCATGTGGCTTTGAGGTTAAAGCAGTTAGAACCGATGATCCACAAATGCTCGGTAAAGAAATAGCAGCTAAAATCGCAGAAGAGTAAAAAGAGAAGGGGGGAAAATACACAATAATATCAACAAATTCAAACATGTTATGTTCAGTGGGACCTCATTTTCACATACATAGCATTATTTTGTTATTTTTGTATTTATCTTTTCAACTATTCAAAGATCTTAGACAACTTATGTCATTTGAAGAAAAATCTAATATGTACCAAAAAATGTTATAATGAATAATACCTAGGCAGTCATGCACAAAGAAATCTAAAATAACCACTCTTCTAACTGTGTTCTTTTTACTTCATTTTAGGCAGCATCTTTCCCCATCTTAACAAATCCCCATCTCAACAAATATTCTTGATCTTCAGAAAATTCTATATCTTTAGAAAATTCTATATCTTTAGAAAATTCTGTAAGTTTAAGCAATGGAAAGCATTGCTTGAATTGAGGGAGGATATTTTCCTTCACCCCAGCAATTGAACTCAGCTAGAGATTTTTTTAAGTTAAAGAATGTTTGTGATACTGAAGCTTGAAATTGATTTAAAGCATACAGATGAAATATATTTGTTATAAATATTAATCGCATAGTACATTTATATTAACTACTATACAACAGACATAACTACCCCTACATGTATAAAATATTGTGTCTACATACAGCCTGCATGTTATATCTCGTTTATATTGATTCAGTATTGTAACAAGAGGCCCAGAGGGCCTGTATCGCTCACCTGTTTCTTTTTGACATCTCTTAAACACTTCTTAAGATATTGTTGTTTGAAATTTCAAATTTTAATTTTAAAGCTTCCAACCCATGTTGACGTTTAACCCCTGACTAGCACTTAAAGTTGACCTTTAACCTCATTTCTGTAACTAAGAACAAGATTTGCACTGCTGGTCTTCATAACATACTCAAATACCATGACTCTAGTCCAAGTGGTTCTTAGGATAATTTTGTTTGAAGTTTTTAACGTATTTGACCCCTGTGACCTTAAAACTAGGTCAAGGTCATTTTAATGAGGAAACTTCGAGCCAGGTGAACTAAAAATGATATCCGAATAAACACTGATGTGTAATTAATGACTGAAACAGACAACCCACAGATCATTATATATCAAAGATTACATAATTACATTGAACACTTAAGCCATAACACATTAATTGTTTGTGCTTGGGATTATTACTGCTAGGGAAATAACAGAGCTAACAAGCAATGTGTTCCTTTTAAAGCTCTCATCAATGAAGAGTTGGATACCTTTATATCAAGTATTTGGTTTGTTGATATCATTTATTCTTATCTTAATCTTGAAGTTTTGCTTCTGAAGAATTCTACACTAAGCAAGCATGTTTGTTTCAAATCTTACTTTTAATTAAAAAAAAAAGCTCACCATTTCTACAGAGCTTGATCGATCTTTTCAATTGTTGTTGGTTTGTTTGTAACAATATCTTTCTTGTTATTTCATTGTATATAAAATGTTTGAAAAATACTCATGGTGAGATCTTCACAAAAAAATAGACCAAAATAATGTAAAAAAATTATCTGAAGACCAAGCATGTATATGTGAATTAATTTAGTACGGCTTTGACAAAGCATGTATATCTAAATCAATTATATATGGCCTTACATCTTATTTACATATAATTAATTTGTAATGGCCTTATAAAGTGTGATGTGTACAAGGATTGTACACATGACTTACAATAAACTGTACAATATTTATACCACACACATTGTATACCAATAACAACTTGAAGATAACAAAACAAATTAAGGCTTGTTGCAACCAAATTGCATAACAATATTTTAATGAGAGAAAATGTAGCCTATGACAATTATTTTCGTAGACATAACAAATATATACATGTCAAATTGATATCAATATACTGTTTTCATTGTCTGTATGTGTGAGTGTGCCTGTTTGGCATCACTGAACAAAGCGCAGCCTTTACCAATATTGATATATATGTAAACATTTCTAAAGCAAACTGCAAAAAGTTACTACCCACCAAAGTACCTGTTAAACAATACATGGTTTGTGTGTTGTTGTTATCAATGTCTGTAATTTTGTAAATAAAGACAAATGTACGGGTAAGTCATCTAATAAATAATATAACATTTATTAATATCATAATTATGTTTTGTAGAATTTCAAATGGGGAATTCTTCATATAAATGTATATATATATAATACAGAATTAATCAAATAAACTAAGCAATGCTATAAAATTGTTCAACGATTTTGATCAATTTCATATTAAGTGTACAAGATTCTATTCATCATGATCACAGTATTCACAGGCTGGGATGAGCATGTGATGATATACCCTTAAGTAGTATAATTACATAATGGCCATATCTCATATGTTCAGCCCTTGTGATCATGCTTATATGAGAATTTTACACTCCCTAATCAGAGAAAGTAGTTTTATGAATCAAAACCAATTTCAACTTAAAGAGATATCATGATGTTATATTGTTCATTGCCTCCATCATGGTGTCACATGATGTCATTTTCGATGTCATATGATCATATCTAAATATATCATGATGTTATATTGTTCATCGCCTCCATGATGGAGGCGATGAACAATATAACATCATCATATCTAAATATATCATGATGTTATATTGTTCATCGCCTCCATCATGGTGTCACATGATGTCATTTTCAATGTCATATGATCATATCTAAATATATCATGATGTCACATGATTGTATGTATTATGGTGTAATGATACTGTACCTTACATGATGGTACATGATCCTAATTGTTATGAGGTCACAACCAGAGCTATGTGAGGTCAGTGTTATAACACTATTACATGTGAACAATATACGGGAGAGTGCTTTTGTTATGTGATGACAAACATTAAATTTCAGTGACATGGTTCAAAGATTTTGTTGGCCTTCAAATTTCAATTCATAAAAAATGTTCCCTTTTGATATTACATGTAATGATTTCACAATGAGAGGACATTTTCGGGTATGATTTTTTTTTTAAACGATTGATGGGACTTTTTAATTATTGAACAGGTAAACATGTAATTTCTATAACATGTACCTATATGAATCACTGTGATGTACTTTTTTTTCTTGTTTAACATCTCAACCTGATATTAACATATCACATAGTTTTCTCTCTAACCTCTAAGCCACAAAAGTTTTACATCAGATGAAAAATACAGCAAAACAAATCATCTATTTACTGAACACCCAAGCATATACCTAGTACATATCTCTGATAAGAACGTTTGGCGGGTTCCATTATTTTGGTTTCTGGTGACACTGACTTTAAACTTGTTCGCCATACGACGGCAGTGGAGCTGCTACGTCGCTATATTTTGGAGGGAGCGCCATAACAGCTTTCACTTGATACCTGGTCACCCCCTGGGAGGTGGATGGCTCGGTGTCTGGGGGATGGACGGGGGAAATGACCCCAGGGGGCAGGTCAGTCATCATGATGGTCTCGTAGGCTGGAGGAGGATCACTGGTGTAGGCCAGCTGGTCCTGGGAAGGTGTGTTGATCACTGGGAACAAAACAATGATAAGAATTTTCAGTTGTAGATATACAAAAAAACACAACAATTCATCTTCATTTTGAAAATTCATCATGCATCACCTTGATAGTCACCTATAGGTAAGATCCATGATGCAATTTTACAATATAAAATTGAAGGTTGAATTATAAAATGTATGACACCTTTTGTACAACATTTTACTGGTATGCAAAAGGTGTGACCTTCACATTGAAAATTAAATGCTTTGACCTTGTTATTCATTTGCAGGTTAAAGTGTAATTTATGACTGAACATAAATAAAGTCATGTGTCAGTATTTGTTATCCGTGTAACCAGACAAAACAAGGTTCTACTTTCATTTCAAAGTAGATATGTATTATCTATTTGTGTTTTAAATTGATATTTATTATATATGGTCGTCAGGTGATGACCAGTTAAAAATAACGAAAACCTGCAACTAACATAATAACACTACTAATCACTTACATTTTACTGCTTTCAACCTTATTATGTGATATGTTACAAACACATTACTACATGTATACAAAATCCACATACTTGCTATTCCAAATGTTCATGTGGAAAAACCGTTTTGGTTAATGACAATAGGTAAAAAGATTTAAATATGCATTTAAGGGAAAATGTACCACTGAATAAATAATAATAGCTTTAGAGCCTGCTCCCTTATATATAGAAAGTAAAACAACAAAAGCAAAAAGGAGTTTTCTGCCTTTTTCTGAATTCCTTTTTCAAGGTATTTGTTTCTCTTTTTGATGCTGTGCATTTACCATTCCCGGATAGTAACATTACTAAAGCATAGTATTGACAATCCAATCTCCTATAAATCTGCAGAGAGGGCAGAGTGACATTTTATACCTGAACAGGTGTGAAAACACTGCTGTGGCGGGTGTTGCGAGGGTTGCTGGCCGTGGGCTATCCGCCATTTTCTTGATATCCAAAGTTTTCCCAGGATTAATGTTCCAACCAATATGATAAGACCACAAACTGAAAAGTACATACAAGATCCATGGACATATTATTTTTAATCAATACACTTTTTTTCATTTGAGGAGTAATGTTCATGTCTCATAAGTTTTTAATAAACTATACATTTGAGCTTTCGAGTGAGAGAGGATGTTATACTACACACACATATGTCATGCTGAGATATCGAGAAGTCAGTAAACGTTGCAGTCATGAATAGTAATCGGACTATATACACATGTAGCACTTACTGGTACGAAACAAGTTCTTAACACAGTGAACCAAGATTAAGTTGATAGTGATTAAAAAAAAAGTTTGGCACATTTTTTTTTATATATTTGGTTAAGGATATTTGCCTCACCAAGTACTGTATACTATTGATTTTTGTTTGTTATCTCCCTCTGTAAGTGTCAGTACAAAAACAGTACATACATGCATTCAGAACCTTTAAAATGTGCCACTAGTTGGGGTTTAGAGCAATTCATGTTTTATCTAAGACCTTAGGAAGCATATACCCATAAAAAACTATTTAATTATTAGGTGACAATATTTCCTACCCATTCCCATGACACATAACATGATGGTGATGGAATACTTGGAGTGTATAGCCTCAGCAATAAATACACTGCCCACTGTCAACATGCACAGTCCAACACATGCTGCACACACAAATCCACATGTCATCTGACGCCATAATCGAGGACTGCCTAAATCCTCCTCCTTCACAACGAGATTCTGCTGCTGGCGTACATAGGCCCTATATGATCGATGACTTGGGCGTACAGATACACCAACTCCAGAATTCTGCGGACTAGAAGGCTGCTGGTCCGCTGTCATTTTGTGTGAGTGGATTGTGATGAAGCCACTGTCTCCTGTACATGTACTCCTGGAATTAATCACTCCCCATCTACCTACATGTACATGTCATTGTAGGCTATAATTCTGAACTGGATAATCATAGTTTTGGCTTTCTTTGCTTACAGTCAATCTGAAAAGAAATATATAGGCCTAGAACTATATAATTACTTTTTATTATTCATGTTGAGGTGTTTTTTTCAACAAACTGCAGATATTTATTTTTATTGAGCAACATTTGAAATTTATAAAAAAAAAAAAAAGCCTTGCTTACACAGGTACCCATATTATCCAGTGCTGGCTTCTAAGGAGATATTGTTAGACCCATTAGACGAGAGTCTTAGTGAACGGCACTGAGTGTCTTGTCTCGGGAGTTTTGTGGAATATCAGCAGTCGGCGGTCGACTGTCTGGAGGCGACCAGGGTAAAAAAATTGGGATATTCTGCATATCAGATCATTATGAGCACATATTATGTTTTTCATGTCGATATAAATCTGATAAAGGAACAACATCGTAACGGCATCATAATAAATTGCAATATCAATGTCAAATGCGTTTTATAATAACTTACATAAAATAGGACGTTCCGCAGTGTTCTTTATTTACATTTTCCCAATAGTCTTCCGGGTCTTCATTAACGCTTTATATACAATATCTCATGCTTCCTCCAAGTTAAACGTTTATGAGACGTTGATATTTACTTTTGGAACATATCGGATTTTATTCTGGATATTGATGGGTAAATCAACAATATGATATTCCGAATAAGTTAAATGACGTTAGCTGGAATAATATAACAACAAAAAGAATATTCAAGGATGTCTGTCAACACGGCACACGCACAAATGGGGGGTGTCCTGATATTTGCAGGCGAAAGGTAGGCAGCTATTTTAGAATATTCGTAAAAGAAAGTTATATCGATGATATCTCTGTGACAGTTGAGCATTCTTTTGCCATAATCATATCGATGTCAGTTTTTGTGTAAATGATTCATGTTCTTATGACTAAATTCTGATTTCTAGATAATTCATTATTTTGAGAGATAGTTACGTTGACATGGTGGTAGTAAGATCCATTATAATTATGTGTCAATATCTGTAAGTTCAGAATCTACGTGAGATCATATTTTATCAACGCACCAAAAATGATCACGTAACATACCTGAAGAGTGGGAGGAGAAATGGCAGATGCATTTCAATCATGAGAAGTGCATCGTCATAAGGATCTCGGGCAGGAGACAACAGTTACCAACACCCTATACCCTGCATGGACACCAGTTAGAAGTTGTTAACAGCAGAAAGTACCTGGGAGTGCTTATCAACAAGCTAAGGACCTCACCTGGAACAAGCACATAAACCAATTTGTCAGCGCGTAAGGCATCACAGACTCTTGGATTCCTGAAAAGGAACGTCAGGAGGTGCACCCCGAGAGTCAATTAAGACCAACATGTACTGCACCCTTTTCAGGCTGACCCTGGAGTACGCAGCATCAGTGTGGGATTCACACCAAGCCGCCCTTGTTGCAGAAGTGGAACAGGTTCAGCGACGTGCTGCCAACTTTTTCTACAACGACTACATATACTATTCCAGGACTCCCCGATGTGTTACAGCCATGATAGAACGACTAGGATGGGAATCTCTACAACAAAGGAGATCTACACAGAGACTCATCACATGCTATAAGGTCATGCACAAACTAGCCGTTGTTGACCCGGCCCACTATTACCAGGCAAGTGACAGCAGAACAAGAGGACAGCAAAGACTACAACAGAGGAGAGTGAACACCGATACTTCCTTTCTTCCCAGATCCACCAGGGAATGGAATAAACTCCCAGAAGAGGTAGCAACATCAGCTACACGGATGAGTTTAAGGCCAAGCTCAACACCATTGCTTGGCCGCTCAGCATCCGCTAGACTAGCAACCTCCGACCCTGTATATATTTTTAACATAACTGATTTTAAACATGTGGGGAAGCCTCCTATTTTATCAATCATGCCCTGAGTCAATTTACACTCCAGTATTAGGTGATCGACTTAATACCGGAAGAAAAGTAGAAGGAGGACCTGAGATGGGAAGGGACATCACCAGAAATATGTGGAAATTCATGTATCAGTCCATTGAATCCACAAATACCTAAGGTGCACAATCAGCTCTATCCTGAACTAGAGCGCTCACATTGGAAATATACTGTATGCAATTGTAGTAGAACTGGACAGGGTCAATTGTCAGTGTCCATATAGAGCTCAATTAGTAGAGCGTCCATCTAGAGTTCAGAAGGCCTGAGTTTAAAACTCCTTTGTGTTTAAAACCCTGACCTGGCCATGCATTTTTCCAACTCCTGTCACAGTGGTGCCTGTGACCGACTCTTGTTTCAGGCATTGGGTGAAGCTTACAATTATGGCAAGGGGATATCCCAACTTGGGTTGTAAATAGTTATCTTCAGGGGCAAAGACTTAGAAAAAAGAGGGATCAAGGAATGTTGTGGCGACCAGGAAGCTCATGCATCTGTCCCTGCATTTTTCCATCTCCTGTTACACAATAAAGCTAACATTATTATTTACGGCTTCTTGAAATTAAAATAAACCTCATCTTCTTGTATACAGTAAGCCTTCATTTCATTGAGGAATACATAGTTCAAAATCAAGTCAACCAAAGTTAAGAAACATGTCTACAAATACTGTACGTGAGACTGTTGTGAGACCTTTAGCAGTGCATGCCAGATTCCTATCTCTTTATAAAGACATTAGAAGACTTGTCATGGTCCAGCGTTGAGCATTTAAATATGTAGTCAAAAAGTAATGGTAAATGTAATCTGCTTACGTCCCTGACTTTGGCCAACACCATAAATTGTTTCCAAAGGACACCAGAAAGAAACGAGCAAGGCGGACAATGCTCTACAAGATACACTACCATAATGACCAGATCAGCATCACCAAGTTACACATCATACCATCCAGATGTGGACTAACCACTAAAGAAATCCTTAAGAAATATACATGACCAGTCATTCGAAATACCATAATTCAGGACTGATCGGTGATATTTGTGCCCTGTCCATGCACCATAAGAAATGGAATGTTCTAGTAACCACTAGTTATACTTTTAGATCAATGGTGTTTGGAGTATGTGAAATCTAGATCTCCAGGACTTGTTTTTTTATTCTGTTTTTAAAGCCTAATGAATGGCCATGCCATCCATAACACAAGTCCGAGGTTCCTCTGGCCCTGACACCAGACTTAGACATTTTGACAAAAAGATGTCAGTGTGGGACATCTATCTGTAAAAATGATCTAGAAAGAATTGGTAGTATAGGGTGCCTTGGTGTTTGTATCCCGGTCTGTTCCATATGTATTCTGTCCTGTTACAAACTAGCGCTGTAACAGTTGTTGCATGCATGCTAAGAAGGAATACCCAAATGTGTGTTGTAGATAGTGTTGTCTTTAATTGGAGACCGTAATAATAATTAATAATATGAGGTTCTTATATGCCACTTTATCACAATCTAGTTTGAAGGTCATCTCAAAGCCGTTCACAAATATCTGTGGTTATAAGGCCCTCGCAATAAGCCATTTATCTTTCTCAACTCCCTGGGGAGCATACAGCTGGTGCTGCCATTTCGGCACTCACAGCTAGTTTTCAAAATTTCTATCACTGCCAAACCACATACCACGTACTCATTTACAGCTGAGTAGACTGGAACAAGCGGATTAAAGTATCTTGCTCAAAGGTACAATACAGTGCCGTGCCGTGCCATGACTCGAACCTGTAATCCTTCGGTCACGAGCCTGGCGTCCTACCACTAGACTACTGTGCCTCCTGATAAAGTAAAGTTATCAGATCTGGACTATCTGGGTCAATTATTATTGACCGGCTCTAGATAGATGAGATAATAAAGCCTCCATGTAGAGATTAAGTGTAATCCTGGGCTAGCCTGGTAATGTTGTATATTGACACTTGATGTAATTTTTATATACCAAAACCTTGTGACTTCATTTTATTTATTTCAGGATTCTTATTTTTTGTGATGGGGTTGAGATGGGATTTGATTGTAAAGACCTAGCTCATTTTAAAGGGAACAAGAAAGGAAGGATATACCTTACAACACATAGGGTAAGTGAAGTCAAGGGGTCAAGGTCAACAGGATAAGTCAAATTTAAGGGTAGAAGTCAACTGAGTAAATAGGTCAAGGTCAACAAGATCAAGTCTTACAGTCGGTCAATGTCAACAAGGTAATTAGATTTAAGGTGCCGAGGTCGACAGTGTGGTAAATATACATTTTGTAAATAGGTCAAGGTCATTATTGAATATATGTCAAAAGTCATCAGAAAGTTGAAAATGAGAATCAAAAATGAATATTGGTCAAGGTAGGTATGTTTTTGAGAGTCAACAGGGTACATGCATTTTATATATATATATAGATTAAGGTCAATTAGGGGAAACAGGTCAAGGTCATCAGGATAAGTAGAGTCTAGGGATCAAGAATTGAAGTCAAGGGGTCAAAGTAAACAGCCTACATAGAATTAGTGTTAAAGGGTCAAGGTCACTTTACATGGGAATTTCTGTAAAGATATCAAGTTCATTATGATCGGTAAAGTCCATGGGTCAAGTACGTAGAAGTTCATCAGGGTTATGAGTGAATGCAGGTCAAGGTCAACAAGTCAATGTAAGTGAAAGGAAACCTTATGGCTGTATTAGAATGAACAGGGTACACTATTAGATGGTTGTCGGTTGTCTTCAGACACATGTTTTTAACATTAAATCATGTATGCTTTGATATTGGCTTCATACCTGTTGTTTAGGTTATCTTCACCAACAAGAAGCCAGACGACATGCTCCAGTCCTTCAGTATGCCATTCTACTGTATGCGGGAGGTAGAACTGGAACAACCCGTATTTGGAGCAAATTACATTAAGGGGAAAATAAACCCAGAAAGTAACGGTAAGGTTGTAGACGGGTTTCATGTTAGTCTTAATGAAAGTGCTAGTAACCTTTTAGCATAGGAGATGCTTGCCAACTTTTTTAAATTTGAATGGGTGTGCTTGCGTTAAAATCATAAATATAATGTGTGGTTAAAAAAAGGATTTTTTAGTGCATGGGGTCAAGGTCAGTTAACATGGGGGTTTTTCTAGGGAATAATAACACTTTAAAACGACATATTTTGAGTTGTTATCATACGTTCACAGAATATAGGAATAGTTTAGCAAATTCATTGGTTGAAAATGTTCAGTTTTAATGTTCAAATTTGGAAATCTCTTTCCAAAATAAAAAGTTGTCAAGTAGTAGGTGTTATACTTATTCTGAACCAATACAGTTTACTTTATTTTGTGATGTTTGACTAACAGACCATGGTAAACACACCTCAATAGTTTTTGCTCTGTTAACACATACAAAGCATTACTGACACTGTTGGTTTTTTTGGACAGATTTCCACTACAGTAATTGTACTTGCTGGAAATTCATGTTCCACAATTGTATCTGAAACAGACTTTTTTTAATGCATTGAACTCCTATACAGCATAGTTTTTGGTCAAATTTACATGGCTCACTGAGATGTTGTCTCCCTTGACAACACTTGGTCATGACACTGACCATTAGAATCTTCTGTTGACAAACAAATGTGTCCTGTTTAGTGTTATTTCAATCAAATTTCAGAGTAATGATCTTCAAAACTCTGGTCAAACCAGAATTCATCATTATTCAAGACAGTTTCTAGAAATAAATATTATGTCCAGACTCATGACTGTAGACATGTATTATTCTTTATTTTGTACAGGATGGATGGGAGACTGCCGATTCAAGCTCTGGTTTACAAGTGGTGGGGCCATCGAGTTCGGCACAGCGATGCTGAAGGCTGGTCAACTGGGTATGTAGAACAATTTCAGGGCTGCTAAAATCTGTAACAACAACAAAAAATCTAGTAGATCTAAAGAAAAATAAGAACTTCACAAAAATATTGTAAAAAAAAACAGTTTTATAAAAAACTTTTCAACACAGTGTACTTTACAACAAGATTTTGACTTAGGTTACAACTCCTCTGGTGCAGAACAAGCTTAATTATTAAGCCATGTGGTTTTTTCCATAGGACACTGACTTCAGTATGCATCTATTTAATTTCATATCTGCAGTGTTGTACATATTTTTGTATTTTATTTCTTCCAGCATCAAGGAATTTTCAGCATCGTCCTCCAGCTTACACTCCCCCACAGGGTCCAATATACCAGGCCCCACCCCCAGCCTACACCCCTCCCCAGGCAGATTATGGCTGGGTGCCCTACCAGACATTCCCTTCTGCTCCACCACGTAAGTATAACGTAATAGGCAGTGTCCTATCTGTGTAGTGCTGGTAAGTATAGCCCCTAGGTGACTGTGACTTAATGTGTTCCCCTCTGCATAATAAACATAGCCCCAAATATTGCTTGGGTTATTCAAGATATTTTTCCTTAACTTCAACAGTCTTTCCAATTGAAAACCCTATGTTGAAAAGCATTGTGAAATTGATTGCCCTACATGACATTCCATACAGCCCTGTATGAATATAGACCCAGCCCTCAGGCAATAGCATACTAGGTTTAAATGCTCTGCCAGACATCCCCTTTGGCCCCATGTATGTGCAGCCCACCCCTGAGGAATCAGTATACAGTAAACCTTGTTATATTATACCTATATTATTTATATGAATATTTTCATATTCATACTTTAATCAGCATTTTTAGTCATTATTTTTTCCCATGAGACTGACTTTAGTGATATATATTTCCTTTCAGCTGAGTATGTGTATACCACGGGTGCTCCGCCTCCGTACCCAGGGGTAGACCCCTCTGCCCCTCCCTACCCTCCACCCCAGACCAACGGAACCCCTGCAGGTACAGTACACCTATCAGTTGATTTTGTTGGTACGGATGCATACCGTAATTGTGTATTGTAAGAACACTATTGCGAATAGATTACCACATGTTAGTTGATTCCAGTGGTGTGTAAGATTCTTGTTATCGTGAGAAGTGTTTTCTTTCTTTCCAAACTTTGAGCTCCAACCCTCCTGCATTTTAGAAGTTATTCTGAGTGTCTACAGATTCACTGAAGTTAACTATGTATGTTATCAATCTGACCTGAACAGTATGACAGTGCATAGGGTTTGTGATGGTTTACGGCCAGTGCATATCCCTCTAGTAGTAACAAAGACACCAGAGTGGAAAGGTTTGTATACTTGTCTCATCAAAAACCCAATAAGATGTCACTCAGCTGTTTCTGTGATGACGTCACAATTAAAACCCTAGACTTCTGGCCAACCAGAATCTTCAAAAGCACAACATGTTTGATTAAACCGGTACTCAAAAGAAATGTGATGATGCTTTGAAGTAAAACAACGCTACATTTATTCTGTATGGTGCTTATATTTTGTGATAACTGTATGTACAGGATAATGCCCTTCTGTGTCCCACTGCATGATCGTATGGGGCAACTAATGTGGGACCCGTGCAGAATCAGGGGTTTCTTATGTGTCCTCTGCTTAAGAGACAATAGAGAAACTAAAGATAATTTGCTGCCCCATTGGAAACATTTGGGATCTGTCTTTTCATTTCTCCTTCCTTCTCTTTCTTTTTGACAGCTGTCTCCCTGTGCAACTGTAGCTAGCCCAGTGTCAGAATAATGTGACTAAGTGTGACCCCGCCAAATTATACACCATACAGTATCATACCTGCATAGTCTTACTATTTTTGAGAGAGTCTCAATTTTTTACCGTCTCTTATGTTCCACTTTCAAATTTTGTCAAATACGGACCAACATATGTAATTATTTTCAGATTTCGCCACACACGGTTTAATGTGCCTGATGAAGTTTAAAAGTAAGCAAATATATAAAACAGAATCCTTAAATAAAACATCCTGTAAACATTTCCTTTGTCTGTTTTCAGATGCCAAAGCTGCAGAGGCTGCAGGAGGGGCTTATTACAATCCCTCCAACCCGCACAATGTGTTTGTACCTAACAATGGGGCACCTCACTACCAGGCGCCACCATATTCCGCACCTCAGTATAATGCTCCGCCCCCCTCATACGCCGAGGCATCTAAGAAGAACAACTGATCATGACCTTTGTTCCGGAATCTGTAAAATTCAAACATCTATTGATATTGACATTGTTCCCAGCCTAAACTGAAATAACTTTGATGGTGATTTGTTGGTTTTGAATGGACTTAAGGGTGTATGCTACCTTAGTGTTAAATGTACCAATTTCCAGAAGATTTCCACATCAAGTGGAAGAATGTCATTAAAAATAGTAATTTAGACTAGCAATATCTTTAAAGGGAGATAACTCTAACACAAATTAAAGATATGATATGTAAGGTTGCATGCATCCATAATTTATATAGCTTTTAAAATTAAGAAAATAACCACAAAAATCAAAAACATGTATGTAGTAATCAACATTTATGGTAGTTCAACATCTATAACAAGTTGATGATTGCATTGTGATAAAACTTGTAAATAGGTTTTGAAAATGTCCTGAAATACTTGTACAGTGGAATTTTAGAAGCTTGAACACAAGAAATCAGTATAAATAAATTAAGGGCATTGCAAGAATCTGTAGTATCATGTTCCAGAATCTGTCCTATAAAAGTTGAATACTTGTATAATCGTAGCTGATGATGATGTTAAACATAATTTGAATATGTTATACAGAGTGTTTTCATAGCCTCCTGTACCTCATCAGCTTTCTTTGTAATTGCATGATATGCCAAATAATGTCCCAGATTTACAGTAACTGGGTAGACTTGTGCTTTTAAAACCTGGATATATTGATGGTAGGCTTGGATCCACTTCTGGTGTTGTTAAGAGCTATTCAGGATTAAAGTAATCGTTTATATTTTTTGTTGGAATAATCCTTTGCAAACAGATTGTTTGCACAGGGACTTGAAAATCAAGACAGAATATGGATAGTGATACCATATCTGGTGCATGTTAAGCGTTTTAATAAAAGTTTTAGAGATTTACATTACCATTTGACAAAATATCACTTCTAATGATTGATATACAATCAATGATTATCCCAGAAATTTAATTTAAGTCAGTTGAAAATATTGCTCTATTCTGTTGCATTATTATTATTGACGATATGTACATGTCTTTACTAGTCATGGATAGAGGGATGAAATTCAAATTTTCTTATATTGTTTATTTTTCTGTGACGACTCGGGCAGTAAAATGAGTCTTGATACATGGAATACTGTTGATTTAAACCAAAAACTGGAGTCCACAGTTGGAATATACACAGACTAGAATTCTGAAATTGGCTATTCAGAAAACTGCTATATCACTGTTTTTATCAGGTCCTTCGACTTTGGAATAAACATTGTTTGGCCCACTTTTTGTGTTGATACATGAAATAGTATAAACATTATCAGACTGCAATAGACTGAACGTCATTGGACAGTGGTCTGGATGGGAGACTGTTGTGTTCAGCTAGGAAGTATTTATTATGTATCAACATTAATCAGCCACAAATAACTTTGAAGTTAAAATGCAGGAGGATGCTTAACCTGGGACAAACACCACTGCAGCACAAGCATTGTATGTTTGGTCATAGATTTTATGAAATTGATTTTTTTTCCGTCAGGGAGGAGGTGACTGAATTTTCTGTGTTGGGTAGGGGGAAAGCAATGGAATCCTATATTTATTACATTACCAGCAACATTGATATATTTGTTGTTTACGTTTATTTTCTCTCATTTGTCACATTAAACATTTACACACTGACCAAGCACTCTTGTAGCTAGAGAAAAGGCAGGTAGAGGAATTCGTAAAAGTTGTAAATAAACATTTTGTCAAACTATATTATCTATATATGTATATAAATGACATCATATATAAAACTAGATCAAGTGATGTTCGGTGGGCTGAGTTATTGGGACTTGACTTCACCGATGTCAAGGAGTACTAGGTGGTTAACATGTAGCTGGATAATCCAGTGTGTTTGTCAAGCCGTTCGGGGATTACAAAAAAACTTGTGGGGGGACAATAAAATAATTTCAGATAGGACAAGATGTTTTAATAGACAGGTGTCGATTTCATGAGGGTTAACATAAGAGACATGAGTCTTTTAGATCCAAAATTTCATGTTAAGATATTATAGGTTGTCTATCAGTTACTGGTAAAGTCGGGTTTTACAGTATCACAGAATGTCCTTTACTCATTCACCCCTACATATATAAACTGGACCTGTCCAGTCTATGATTTGGTAAGGTTCAAATGAGACTTTAAGGGTGAATTGGTTTAAGTCAGGTGTCGGTCAAGTTGGGTGGGTGTCGGTCAAGTCAGGTGTCTGGTAAGTCAGGTCTCACAGTATTGCAGGGTGTCCTTAAAGTCAAGTGTCAGTCAAGTAAGGTCTTGATAAAAGTTAGATTTTACTATGTTTTGTCTTCATTATTCAATAATTTTATTATTTATGAATCATTTAAAGTAATTCATTGATTTTATCAAGTGTCATGTTATTTCATGCATCAGTTTTACTCAGCAAGCATTTTATCCACCAACAGATTAACTATACTCACTCTTTGTAAAGTCCTATCTCCATATTTGAAGTCCAAGCTGGGATTTGTATCTGTTTATACTCCGATTGAAACATTTAAAAATTATTCTATTTCCATATCAAAAGAATTGAATGACACTTGCTATTCTTGTTGCACTAAATCGTCTAGTTGTAATATAAAGGTGTGTATTGTGGAACCTCATTAATCAAACTCGTATAGATAAATAACAGACTACTGATATAATAAAACTCAACTCTGAAAGATAAAATCAGCAATATTTTATTACTTTCCTAACACTACCCGGTTATAACAGCAATAAGAAATGTTTCGTTGCTATGGAAAATTTGTAATTCCAGATTTTTTACAAAAACTGAAGTGTCATGATTAACGAGGTTCTACTGTACTCCAGCCCATGTGATAACATGTATCTGGTGGTTTATAGACAGGATTATGTATATTTCACATTATTATGCCATTTCATTGGTGTTGTTATCTTTGTCAAAATAAAACAACAAGATAGATTCCTCTTGTATATTCTGTTTTTTAACTCATGTCCTATGACATGCACAGGGACTTGAGAATTTTTTACTGTTAAATTTGGACCTAAACTGAGTTATTCAGAGTAATTTTACACATTTAAGGGGGAACATTGGGGGTTGGCATTTTTACCAAACATTTATCTTCACCCCTTACCATGTAACATCAGAACAACTCAGTTTTGGTCCAAATATTGCTAATAAATTCTTAGGTCCCTGTGATGACATGCACTTTTGTATGCTTGTCTTAATGGGATAAGACACTTCTTCCTTATTTTTCTGCTCTGTCCTGTTGGAGGTGTCCCCTTAGGTACCCCTGATTAGCCCATGAGCATTTGCCAGTGGTCACAAAAGCAGAAATGAAACAGTAATCGATTGCATATATGACTCACGAAAGCAAAAATAAAGCTTATTTGGACTGGGTAACATCAACTGTCTGTGGTGATATGCTAGAAAAAAAGCCTCAAACATCAAACAAATTGCAACAAACTTATTTTGGATTTCTCTAATGATAGGTTACCATTTTGTAAAGGAGAAACAAAATACAGAAAATTTAGTTACGTTCACTTACGTTTGCAGAGAGTGTAAATGAGCTAAACTCCTGGAGTATCCAGGATGACTTACAAGTAAAATGGTTTTTTAGCTCACCTGGCACAAAGTGCCAAGTGAGCTTATGCCGTGGTGCGGCGTCCGTCGTCCGTCCGTCCGTCCGTCAGTCCGGCGTCCGGCGTCAATATTTTACNCATCTGCTTTGAGATCAAGAAAATATTGAAATCATGCATACATCAGGAATGGTCCAACATCTGTGGACATCCAGTTCATGGCAGCTTTTAAGGATGTAAAATTTCTAACAAATCATGGACACGAAATTCAAACCAACATAAGGCGTGTAGCATGTGAATCCAACAAATTTTTAAACAGAAAAAAAACCCAAAAACACCCCTTTTTGCACTCCCTTGTCCGCCTACCAAGGCCCTGCCCCTGAACATATATGCATTGCAATGTCCTGTCAAACACTGTTTTCAGAGAACTAACTAGACTGATGTGTCTATGATTAACATCACATGACAAATTAAATGAAAATATATTGTGCCAAAAAAAAGTAGCCATCCGTTCTAAAACCCAAAAGTTCTGTGCTCAAGCCCAGTAATATTGTTAATGGCATGCAAGAAATTTGGAAACCTGTCAATCAATCAATCAATCAAAAAACGGGGTCGTAATTAAAGAAACACGGTGGCTTATGATGTTCGGGAGTTGTGGCAGTTTTGAATTTACTAACTGTAGTTTGATTTCTAGTGGTTTTTGATAAGTTATTCCAAAATTTCTGTAGTATTGGAAAGAATATAGTTGTGCATGGTATAGTTATTGTTATTTCTAAGGGGATATGGAGTTCTATCACATACTAAACCTGGAAGTAATGTATAAAGATATGACCGTGTTAGTTTATATTCAAAGTATCCCACCCCGTTTCAAAATATAAAGATTGAGAACTTGCATATACTGACAACCCAGTTACTACTCTAACAGCTTCCAGTTGAAGTTTTTCTAACAAATCAATATGGAATTTAGATAAACCACTCCAGAGTTCATAAGCATATTCCATTATAGGTAGAATGAACATGTGTATATTTTACTAAGAACTTTCCCATTCACCAGAAATTTTAGTTGTCTTAAGGCATTTATCCGTTTTGAAGCACTTTTATAAATATTTTCAACATGATCACCCCATTTAGCATTTGCACTAAAAGTTACCCCTAAATGCTTATGGTTTTCAGAAAAAAATAAAATGCTGTCGCCAAACAATAGCTCCAGATCTTGATTTTTTTTAAATATTTGAGATAAATAGTGCATCTGTTTTATTAGAATTAAATGTAACTAACCATTGCTTGGATCATGCATTTATACATTGAAGATCATGATTCATTACTGGTTCAATTTCGTTGCAGTTGTTAGAACCAAATATTAAAAAAGTATCATCAGCAAAAAGTCTAGATACACTAATTAAATTTTTCGGAAATATCATTGATATAGATTAGAAATAAAACCGGGCCCAACACCGAGCCTTGAGGTACCCCAGCTTTTAATAACTGACTATTCGAAAATGATTCACCAATAAAAACTTTTTGTTGTCGGGCCTGTAGATAATTAATTAACCACTTCAAGAAATTTCCTGTAATACCATAAGATTTAAGCTTTTCAGTCAGACCCTTATGCCATACTCTATCAAAAGCCTTTGATATGTCACAAAAGATGATACAAGTATGTTTCTTTTCCTCCAGATTTAAACAGATATTATGATAGATTTCGATTAGCTGATGCACAGTGGAATGATTAGACATACATCCAGATTGTCTTGAATAAAATAGTGAGTTTTCAAAAATGTAGTTGTGAATATGTTTGACAATTACTTGTTCAAAAACTTTTCCTACAGCTGATAGTAAAGATATAGGTCTGTAATTTGAAGGTAAATGTTTATCTTCTTTTTTGTACAAGGGCATTACTATAGCTTGTTTCCACAAAGTCGGGTATATACATTTAGACAATGAGATATCAAATAATATTTGAAGAGGTTTACATATAGTTGTAATATATGGTGACTAATACCATCTGTACCAGGAGCTTTAACTAATTTTAATACTTTCAAAACGTCTTTTATTTCCGAATGGTTTATTTGAATGGAAGCCAATTGCAAGGAAGAATTAGTTATAGGATCAAGGGAAGGAATTCTAGCATCACTGTCATCCAAGTCTGAGATAGAAGAAAAATAATTATTTAAAGCCTCGGCCTTTTCAAAATCATCATATATAATAATACCATTTTGTGGATCAACTAATGGTGGAATTTCATTAGATTTACCGCCTGATTTAATTAACCACCTCAACAGTTTCCAATATGACTTAGGATCTGATACTACGTAATTATTAATAAGACCGTCTATATTAGCATAAAATGATTCTCGTGCATGCTTTTTCATATTATTTACTCGGTTTCTAGCTCTTTTAAAACAAGTTATATCAATATCACGCATACTTCTTCAACATTTTTTGTGTAACCTATCTCGTAATCGAATACATTTTCTCGATTCAGTCGTCATCCAAGGCTTATCATTAGGTCTAATACTAATAACTTTTTTGGGATACATGTTTAAATGTATTAGTAAACTTGTTACATGCTTCATCAATACTTAACGATTCTATAAACATTTCATCTCAAGAAAAAGAAATGCCGGTTTAGTTCATTAAAATCCGCTTGATTATAGCACCATATTTCACGTTTATAAGATAAATTTAATTTGATTAAAACTTCTATATATACTAAGCATGCTTCATGATCACTGATATTCCTATCTAAAGGTAATTAAGACTAATGATTCGATACATTTAATCTGTTCCGAAAGAATGACAGGATCAAGAAGACTTGCACTATTATTGGTTATCCGTGTTGGAGAATTTATAACATTTCTCAGATTCAAACTGGTTAAAATATACGATAAAACGTTTTGCCTAGAAACAGTTAGCATGCTACATTAATGTCACCTATTATAACAAGCTTAGCCAATGTTTCCATTGCTTTTTCTATTGAAGTACGAAATTGTTCCCAGAACATATTATTGGCGTTAGGTCTATATACGGTACATAATAAAATACTACTACGTGTAAAATCAAGTTGTATCCATATTAGCTCGCCATTCGGAAACTCCAGTAAGTCTAAACGTCTGGTAGCTTTTATCTGTGACGAAACATACACTAGTATTACACCACCAGCAAATTCCTATCGGCCCTAAAAGGTTCGCTGAAACCTTGTCATTCTAAATCACGAGTTAGTATATTATCATCAAGGTGAGTTTCAGTCAATGATATAACATTGTAATCACTTGCTAAGTCCATTATGTAATCTATTTTGTTTCTAAAACTGCGAATATTTAAATGGAAGATTGACAACTCATGAGTAGTTGGTCCTGGATTTGGTTCGACATCCACGCACATAAGTAATAATATTAAGACAACAAGAGCCCAATGGGCCTGCATCGCTCACCTGGTATTAATCTCACACTTGTAATCCTTAAAGTGGACTAAAATACAGCTACAGGCAGAATATCAGTGTTTGATTCATAAGAATAAAATAAATTATTAAAACATATGACACATGTGACCTTGAATGTCGAACAAGGACATTGGGTTGAAAGTGGGAAAAAAGTCATTCATTTGAACAAACTTGGAAGTCCTTCATCCCAGCAAGCAACAGACCCAATATCAGTACCCTGTGTCTTTTGGTTATTGAGAAGTGGTTTGAAGATTTTACGACATTTGCCCCCTGTGACCTTGAAAGTAGGTCTAGGTCATTTATTTGAACAAACTTGGTAGCCCTTCATCCGAGCATGCTACAGGCCCAATATCAGTACCCCTGGCCTATTGGTTATTGAGGAGAAGACGTTTGAAGATTTTAACACGTTTGAACCCTGGGACCTTGAAAGTGGGTCAAGGTCATTCATTTGAACAAACTTGGTAGCCCTTCATCCCAGCATGCTACAGGCCCAGTATCACTTCCCTGGGCCTTTTGGTTAATGAGAAGAAGTTGTTTGAATATTTTAAGACATTTGACCCCTGTGACCTTGAAAGTTGGTCAATGTCATTCATTTGAACAAACTTTGAAGCCCTTCATCCGAGCATGCTAAAGGCCAATATCAGTACCCTGGCCCTTTTGGTTATTGAGAAAAAGACATTTGACAATTTTAACACATTTGGGCCAGGTGAGCTAAAGAGTGTGTACATATTATTGTTAAGATAATTTTGAAGTACCCTTTGTATAACTAAGATTTCCCTATGATGATAGATATAGGCGAGTCGCTTTCACCCTTTTAGAATTGATAACAGTATATATCTAAAAGTAATACAAACTTTTTTACAGATGAGACCGTATACTTTTATATAACATAATCCAATCGCGGCCTATAACATGCTAGACTATTACCCATTGTCAAAAATGTACACAATGCAGGTCATTGGGGCGCACTCGTACGAGGTAAAAACGCACGAATTACTTGCATTTCTGCGTGTGAACAGGTAAGTCTGGGATAAAAAAAAAAAAAAAAAAAAAAAGGTATAGACATCAGACGACAGAGAAATCAGGAGATAGAGTGAACAGACAAGCATAAGTAGAGAAAGTAAGTAATAATGACTTATTGGGATTGGTTGTTTGTAAGATTTCAAACTATAGGAGAATCACTAGCATGAGGTAATGCTAAGTACCACTGAACATTTTGTATACAAATTGTGCAATATCAATCTAATTAAAATCAGATCTCTCATTACACTACGTTACGTATGTTACTGCATAACGTAGTGTAGTGAGAGATTGGTGAAATATATACCAAGGGCAATAGTGCAATAATTTGTTAACTTGTATTAATTAATAGGATTTAATAGGAAAGGTAACGGACGCAGGGATTGGGTGCCTCTACATCAATAAGCCAAAATAAAGTTTTGCCAATGTTTGTCTAAATTGAATTGATTTCCAAGTCTCAAATTAATGACAGTTGTTAAGTTTATGACATATTCGAAAAGACCGTTCCAAATATCGATAGATCTTTAAATAAATGAGTATTTTCTTCAATTTCTGTGTGTCCTAGCTCTCTTTCTTGATGACGTTTCACGGTTAAAAATTCCAGACGTTACGTTTTCATCGTAGAAGTTGTTCATAATCTAGTTGGATACATTGATTGTATCTCCTCTCAGTCTACGATGTGTTAGGGATGGAACTCCTAATCTTTTCAGACGATCACGGTATGGTAGGTCCTTTAGCCCAGGTATCAGTTTGGCCGACGGTTGCTCTACGCTGCACTTTCTCGATTGATTCTATAATGTCTTTTGTTTTGTGTCGACACTATTATATTAGGCCTAGTGCATTAGTACATTTTTCATTCACAAAAGGTACCTCGGACGGTGATTTGTATTAAACTGTAAATATACTCTTTAAATCTCTCCTTTTAGACCGAATGTACGACATGGGTGTACGTTCAGGGAGGTTTTCGCGCGCCCAGGATTCGATAATAAATTTCCCCCTCCTTTGCCTTTTGAATACAATCTACGTATCTCTCGGTCGATCTTAACAGTGCGAAATTTGCACTATATGCATTGCAAGGGAAGTAACTCGTACATAATTAACTGTTACCGTACTATAACAATATGTAGCAATAATCATAATAGACCTGTATGGCCACACATTTTACTCACAATCATCATGACGATTGAATTCATCAATGATCAATAACGTCATCCCAGAAGGAATTTCCAAAGAGGCCATTAACCCCAGAATATGTATAGCGGTTGATCTTAGTGAATTGTTTAGAGTTACCACGGACTAATCTAATTCCGTGGAGTTACCAGTTTCATAGAGAAATTTTGATTGTGATACTCGGATATATATGCTATTGTGTACTACGGATATTTGTCATTCTATCTCAAAATGAGTCATACCCAACTTATTATATAGTGTATCTAAAAATAAACTTTCGGATAAGTTGTGAGTCAAAACTAAGTCCATCAACTGGTTTATTGGAGTACGTACGTAGTAAGTTATAAAAAATATATTGTGTATCAAATGTAACGAGGATGTAATGAAAAAATAAAGAATGATTAGATCGATAATCCAATTGAGTATTTTTTAATATAAATGTTCATATCATATTCTTCTATTTTGTGGTGTAATGATGTTTTTTCACTTTTTTTTCTTTCATTCGTTTTTGTAATTACTTGTTTCTCATTCCCTGCATATATGTCTATTTTAAGTCATAATGTTTTCATAACGCCAGTCACATTTTCACACAGACATGATCCGCCACTGACATAACGAAACTTCATTCATTTTATAACGGCGGTATTTGTGAAACAATCTTTACCAATATATATTAAGCACTCTTATTAAACAGCCTGGATTGAAGAGCGTATGGAAGGAAACCAGATTACTCGAGGGTCGGATAGGTGACTCCATACCTTTTCACGTCCGATCGGAGAATCGAAGCCCGGCCGTTTTTGTGAAAGGTGAGTGCGCTAACCACTGCGCCATCCAACCACCGACGATCTTTCAAAAGTGGAACCAAAATTTGAATTTTTAATCACTTCCCTCTTGTGACGATTTATATTAGGAGCATGACTATCACACGATTTATTCGCGATAAAATATTGGATTTCGAGAAAGAACTTATTGCCCTTTTTGTGTCATTTGAAAAACAAAAATCGTGATTGACATCCTTGTTTAAACCTTTAATTTCACATCTGCCGTAAGTGTCCAAAAAAGGTGTTTGGTCGCGGTACATCGGTCAAAGAGTAAAGAGTCCCGGCTATAAACCGGCTCCTATTCGGGCTTTTTACCAGTGGGCAAGGATCTAGGACTTTGTGCAAAGGTGTCTTTCGTGACCACAAGGAACCCCATCCCATGTCATCTGGATCTGACAACGATCTTAATTGTTGCGTTTACGCCCCCATTGAGTTTTGATCACAAATTGTAAATTTCTCGATGTTGTTTATTCCAACATATATGTAATCATGAGCAGAGATTCCTCATCTCTGATAAACCAATTTGCAAGTACTGTATGATGCTTGTCTGCAGAAAAATAACAAATTCACGAAAAAAATCCACTTGTAGTGTATATTAGTGTAAGACTAATTACTGAGGAGAGTTTGTTGATTTTCCAGATTGGTCAAGAATCTAGATGTTTCACTATCAACTCGGGAATTATCATAATTTAGAATAAGGCGATAAGATAAAATGTGGTAATATCAATTATAACATAAGTCAGCTGTTTTGAACTACAATTAGTCCCTGCATACATTAGTAGGAGATGAAAGAACTAGTTAATTAATTCAGTGTTATAAATTAAGCAAACCCATTTTACGTTTCGGGCATTCCGTCTAAGTTCACTAAGAACGCTTTGTATTGATCTAATTAAGTAGCTGCAAACTTTTGAGCAACATTTCCTGCAACTATGATAAAATGAAGCGTATATACGTGTTTGCATCAGTTACTTTAACATCAAATGGGCACAAAAGGACCAGGCGACAGACGATGTTTAAAAACTTACTGTATATCTTTTCATTTTTGCGAGCACTCATTTTGGGGTGATATTTAAAGATTTAAAAACAAAATATATCATAGGATAAATTGAAATATGTGACAAGCGACTCTCCTTATCCTTGCAAATTGACAGTTTTTTTGTTTGTTACACCAGTCTTTGTTTTTCCAAAACGTGCAGATGTTTGGCTGATGATCATGACCACACATTAGAGTATTTATGTAATTCGAGAAAAAATCCATTCCGTTAGTATCGTAGCGAGAACCCCCCCCCCCCCCNCCCTAATACTTAACTTATACATATATAACATATATATATATTGTATGCTGGAGAGAAAATGACTGTAGACCAATTAAATACGTGTTCACTGTTTAGGACAGACAAGTAGATACATTGTGATTGAATGATAAACTCGATGTTGAAATGGGAAAATGTGACTTGGAATGACAATTTATATTTTCAAAAACCTCGTTCACAACCTTCCTAGATTATACGTGCCCCTCCATTCACTTGACTTGGGGCGTTGCCACTGTGAGAAATCCGGGCACTTGCAAACAGGAAATAGAATATTGGCGCCTGCGTAATGATGTCGGGCAACCGATATCGAAGTAAATAATGGAAGTGGGAAGTGGGTAACACCAACAAAATCCATTGCATCTAACCGTTAACGATGTTCAACGGGGCCTAGTTTTCCTCTAGATTGTTTAAGAAATATGTACTTGACCGTATAAGAAGCTCATTTTAGCCTTTCCGGTGTAGAGGTATGCTAATTTCTGTTTTAAATGGACAGACTGGTCCGCTTTTGTTTGTGTTTTTTTGTGTTGTGTCTCTCGCTTCGTTTCAAAGAATGCACTCTATCGTATGAATAACATATCTTTCAGATGGAGCTGAGAGTCGGAAACAAGTACCGCCTCGGACGGAAGATTGGAAGTGGTTCGTTTGGAGACATTTATCTTGGTAAGAATTATATATTACACAAAATCTAAACACGTCGGTGCAAGCCTCGAAATATTTTGACAGTTCTCGTTCGAGGACAATGTAGGTGATTCAACAATGACTGGATTTGCATTTTACAATCCTTTTTCTTGGTGATTCATCATAAGAACACAAACGGAGTCTTGAATTACCTATAATATATTGAATTATGAACATATCACATTGTTCGATGACATTAATGCAAATTTGTCTGGTCAAATAATAACCGGAAGAGGAAAATCGGATATTCTGTTTTGGCTGTCAAAATAACGACGAATGAATGAAACATGAGTGAAAAACAAATACTTTGATTTGACACCCAACAATTGTTTGCCGTGATCATAGATTCATTTTGACATGTTTACACAAAACCTATACAGAAAACATGACTTTTCATAGTGACATCAGTACATCATTCAAGTGTCACAAAAGCAAGAGTATGTTACTTACTTGGGTGTCGATTAAATATGGAAGATCGATGATTCATTGTAAGATTTGGTTTATTTCATGCATATCTCAAAAGTATCTTTTCAGTGATACTAGCATACATTTGGTCTAGATAGCTGTTAACTTTTATTGTTCTTATTATATAAAAGATGAATACAGAATAAAAGAGTAACTAAAATGAATATTTCCATTGTCACAAAATGAAGTGTTGAATGTATTGGAAATCAGGTTAGGTTACAAGAACTATCCAGTTAGTAAATCCACGTACCCGAAAACCGTTCCAAAATGGAGGTCAGTATATTTATTGACTTCCCAGGCAAAAATGTCGCTCTTGACTGCTGATTGACAGACCTCGAAAACACTCTTGTTCAGTATACTTACTTTACTATTGAGTGCATGTAAACAATAAACTTTGAATGTAAACACAATATCAACTGACATTCTGTACATGTTGAACAATGTAACTCATCATTCACCGGCAGCTATGATCAGTGTTCCGACCAGAAGTGATGCACAGAAATACGTGCGCATCAGCATTGACAACACATAAGAATGAAGTGAGACTACGAAAATTTCTCTGTCGGGTGGCTAGCGATAAGTAACCAATTCATAACAATTTAAGAATTTGTAACTTTTACAACTGTATTCACAAGACATAAGTATTGAGTTATCTTTGTTTATGTATTTAATGAATTAAGTAATCATATTTTTATCAAAATAAAGAGCCATTGGTGGACATATTTTATTGCACAAGAAAACATGGTAACCTGGTTTTGGTTCAGATAATTAAGTACACAAGGTTATCCAAGTGGCATTTTTTCTATCCGTTGCAGCCCTAATTGCAAAACATTATCCTTTCTTTGACACATGTGAAAAATCCCAAAGAAAAGACAACACAGATGATTTGCAATATTTGTAATGTTCAACATCAAGGTCATCATTCAATACTTAAGTTGGAATTGTACAATGGTTTATGGGGGTGTTCAATTTCATAGTCGAGTCCTAGCCAGCAGGCAGATTTTGATATTTTTTTTAACAGCCTAGTGTATTCTAATTTCATAGTAAATATAAGATAGTATCAACTTTCATTGCCCAGCAACCAGGTCAAGCTAATTGAATAGTACACCCCTGTACTAATAAAATTATGATTTTGGTTTAAATCCAGTATGAAATAATAGATAATCACAATTGTATTAATTTAAAGTAATAATCAATGATATGTAGTCTACTAGATGATACACAGACCTGTTGCACTACACTGGAAGATGAGGCTAACGCAAATTTTTGAAATTTCCTATCAGACAGTCGGGGTGGAATATTTATAAAAACATACATGAAAATAAAGCTTTGAAAGTTTATCAGTTGTTTTATTTAATTTAGATCAATATTGATTGTTTGATTATGTCCATTTCAGGTACTGACATTTCAAACGGAGAAGAGGTTGCCATCAAATTAGAATGTGTGAAAACAAAACACCCACAGCTCCACATAGAGAGCAAGATCTACCGAATGATGCAAGGAGGAGGTAACTTTGATCAGATGAAAGAATTTGGGTTTATATATTATATAGATAAAACTGATTTTGTTTGATACTTTTTTTGCTCATTTGAAAATAACTTCCCTTCTGCATATTAGAAAAATCACAAATTCAGGTACTATTTGTAAAGGCTAATGAAATGAAAGAGAAGAGTTATACCAGTCCAGATATTTCCTTTGGTTTTAATTGGTTGAACACCATATAAGTACTTCCACAACATCCAATTTAGTAACAAGATTAATTACAAGAACATGTCATTTATATGCCACCAGCAACATTTCATTGCTGCACTCCAAAAGTTTGCAAAACAGTCAATAATGCATCCGAGTCGTGTGTACAGGGAAACCAAAATTGTGTGACATTCCCTATATGTAGACATGCAAAGAATTGTTTAAGCGCTTGCTGTAAGATCAATGAGAACCCCCGTCATTGTTCTGATGACCAATGGATTAGACGGCAGCATGAACTGGTCCCCTCTTGTGAAATTTCATTATGGACAGTTTTAGATGAATTCTTCATCTTTATCGACAGTCTGATAGAGAAAATCTGAATTTCATTTAGTCAAACAAAAACAATTTTTTTAGCAAAAGATTTTCCTGAATATTATTTAAATTTGTATAATTTCCTACTTTTAGTGGGAATTCCAACGATAAAATGGTGTGGAGCAGAAGGCGACTACAATGTCATGGTGATGGAACTTCTAGGACCTAGTCTGGAGGATCTCTTTAATTTCTGCTCACGTAAATTCAGTTTGAAGACGGTCTTGCTACTGGCAGATCAGTTGGTATGTTATAATGCTTATATGGAGCCAATAAGTAGTCACTCTTGTTTACCTAGTTTTGGTTCTGTTGAACATCACTGATAAAACTGGCAGCATATAAAGATATATTAAGTTTTCCATTGATATGCACTGGAGGTATATAAATAAAAATATCTTTGATAAACTGGCAGGGTTAAATGTCTCAATTTTGTATGGAAATTTTATGGTAAATGTTATGAAGTCTATGGATTGCCATTTAAATATGTAAATGTAGGATGTACTATTGTATATTTTTGAATAATTTTGATTGTGTTGTATGTATTTATTAGGTAACCTTTTGTTAGATATAGATTATCCGCAATTTTGAAACTGTACATTGTTTTATTCTTTTACAGATAAGCAGAATTGAATATATTCATTCAAAAAATTTCATTCATCGTGATGTGAAACCAGACAATTTTCTTATGGGATTAGGAAAGAAAGGAAATCTTGTGTATATTATTGACTTTGGATTGGCCAAAAAGTATCGTGATGCTCGAACACATCAACATATACCCTATCGGGAAAACAAGAATCTCACCGGCACAGCTAGATACGCTAGTATCAACACACATCTCGGAATTGGTAAGCTAATGTTCATCAGCTTGTACGGAAGTTCCAACTCCAGTTTTGCAGTTTTACCATTTGCACAATCTGAGTTGTTTTGGTAAGATACAGAAACAAAGTTGACCCTTAGTTACTGTAGGAATAATAAAGCATTAAACACTTAACTTGAAGATTGTCTATAGTTATGTATAGAACTTGTATGAAAGAACCTTTGAAAGATCTTCTGTTTAATTTTTCCAGGGACTTACCTAGGCTTTCTCAGCTGCTGATATTTGGTTCTTTCCCCAATGGAATATTAAGCCTTTTTTGCTTCAATATTTACAGTCTCCCAAAATTAAAAAGGCATAAGAAAAATGAATTTTAAAAAAAATCATTTTTTACCAAAAGTGGTATTCGGATATGACAATATTACATTTAAAATTATATGATCTGTCATTATTGAAGGTGATTTAGCCTTCTACATGAGTACTTTTCAAGACAATAAATCTTTTGGTTCACCCGTTGTCAGTATAATAATATATCCATGCCTCCAGCACACATTCACATATGCACGCATACACAACACACATGGAGGCACATCCTTAAATGACCTTAGCTGTTAATAGGACGATTACCAAAACCAAACTTTTGGCAGAATTTTTATCAAAATAATCAGAATTTCCCTTAAATTTAACAAAAATAACAAAAATTATCCAATTTTTCCAAGATACTCTAGACAAGTCTCTGTATCTAGTTGATCAAGAAGGTAGCGCTGATTTTCCTTTTATTATCATGATCTTCACTAGTATTGGATCTTGGTAAAGTGATATTATAAAAATAACTGTTTAATTACTTGCACATCGGTAAGTGTTTTTCACGTATCTTTGAAAATGTCAATACTCTTGCGTTTAATACTGTTTCTTGTTCTTGCTGTGTTAATTTGGTTTGTGTTTTATTTCTACAGAACAAAGTCGACGGGATGACATGGAATCATTAGGGTATGTTTTCATGTACTTCTTACGTGGGAGCTTGCCATGGCAGGGACTAAAGGCGGCGACAAAACGTCAGAAGTACGAGAGAATCAGTGAAAAGAAAATGTCCACTCCCATAGAGGAACTCTGTAAAGGATTTCCCTGTAAGTGGTCTCCTGACCAATATACAAAGATAACTAGGAACTGAGTCTTGAGGCCATCCTTTCCCTTCTGACCACTAAAAAGTAGACTACTCAAATACTTTTGTTGAGAAAATTAGGGTTCAATATAGTGTCCAACTCCCACATCAGAGGTGTGGATGCCTTTAATTAGTAATCCCATATGTCCTTCTGTCCACACTTTAATCTCTAATTATTATCTCAAAATCCATGTCATTTTTTTTTTTTAATTTCACATGGATACAGAGATGTTCAAGAGGGGTTTAAAAGTGACCAAAAGTTAAAAGATCAGTTAAAAGCAATGGGAGATATAGTCAAAAATAAAGATTGCCCTTACTAACCCACCAATAGTTGGTGGATACCCTACATAAATATCACCATATTACCCAGAAATCCAAGATGGCTATATAGCTACCATTAATCACTTCTGATCAGCGGAGATAAATACAGCTATGACTTAAATTATGTTGATACAATTAGGTTCATGCTTGTTGGCAAATTATGATGCTTATTAGGATCCATTATCCAAAATAATTGCTCTAGTTTAAGGTTGGTCCAAGAATTCTCTTCTGTAGGTCTGATTGTGTTCACACTGGTAGTAAATGGTTCTTACTTGCTGAATCACATGAATATAATGCGTTTATTCCCGTATTCTGAAATTCAAGACAATCACTGGCCATTGCTTTAGCTAGCGATTAAAGATATATATATATACTTAAGTAGGACACACAAGCAGGCCCTTGCTAATTGCTAAACTGTTAGTCTTTTAGTTCTTGAAATTTAAATCTCAACAAACAGTCGGGTCTTTAACTCTCCTTCATAGACCTTAAAGTTGTTGAGTTAGACAATCTAGTCAATGCAACATGTGTGCTTAACTCCATGGAGTTTCATGCACGGTCCCATTAAAAAATCAGTAAGCAAAAACTTACCAATTTTTGAATTAACATCCCTTACGTATACCGTCACAGCCATATAAATCTAGAAAATTGTTGGGTTTGTAGAGAACAATCATGTTTCTACTAGACATTGCCTATAGGTTGACTGCTTTAATATGATGAACTCTGGACTTGTTGAAATTCACATGATCATATCATTGTCATATTTTGCAAATGATATGTAACTTTTTGTTTCAAATATATAAAAGGAAACCAAATTTGATTTCTCAGTAATTACTGCATTCATTGTGCATATTTATGTAAAAGAGTTTGACTTGACTGAAAGTGAATGGAGAGAACACATTCCATATTTCAAAAGTTAAAATTTCTGACTTAAGACATAATTTTCTGTGTTCTTTCAGCGGAATTTGCCACCTACCTGAATTTTTGTCGGTCTCTAAGATTTGATGACAAACCTGATTATTCCTACCTTCGACAACTCTTCAGAAATTTGTTCCACAGACAAGGGTTCACCTATGATTATGTCTTTGACTGGAATATGCTCAAATTTGTAAGTACTAGTGGTCATCCTTCAGAAGTATTGAGTTATTTGTAGACATCAATTTTGTATTTGTAAAAACTGCTGATCTGATGTGCTTAATGAGATGTAGTGAGGTATTTTTCATCATTTTGAGGTAATACAATGACAAACTGGAAAAACTACTGTAAAAGTGGAGTTGGTTGGTAGTATCTTGGCACAACAAACCTTGAAAGTGTTTTCCTCCTGGGCGCTGGAAAATGTGATAATAAAGATCCTACTGTGTATATAGTAAAGTACTGTTAAACCTGTCAAATTTAACCCCTTATTCTGAGATCCTGTAATTTTTAGCTCACCTGGCCCTTCGAGTGAGCTTATGGCATGGTGCGGCGTCCGACGTCCGGCCGGCGGCAACTTTTTACTTGAAACAAATTCTTTTCAATAACCAAGAGATCCAGGCTGATGATATTTGGCCAGTAGAATGCTGGGATGAAGGGCTTCAAAGTTTATTCAAATGAATGACCTTGACCCACTTTCAAGGTCACATGGGTCAAATGTCTTAAAATCTTCAAACAACTTCTTCTCACTTACCAAAAGGCCAAGGGTATTGATATTAGGCCTGTAGAATGCTGGGATGAAGGGCTTCAAAGTTTGTTCAAATGGATGACCTTGACCCACTTTCAAGGTCACATGGGTCAAATGTCGTAAAATCTTCAAACAACTTCTTCTGAATAACCTAAAGGCATAGGGTACTGATATTGGGCCTGTAGCATCATGCTGGGATGAAGGGCTACCAAGTTTGTTCAAATGAATGACCTTTTCCCACTTTCAACCTAATGTCCTTGTTCGACATTCAAGGTCACAGGCGTCATTTGTTTAAATCTTTTAATAGGTTCTCATGAATCAAACACTGATATTCTGCCTGTAGCTGTTATTTAGTCCACTATTAAGATTACAAGTATGATATTAATACCAGGTGAGGGAAAGAGGCCCAATGGGCCTTTCGTTAACATTTAGCTGTATTTTTCTTCATTTCCTACAAAAAAACCTACCCTGTCTAATCTAATCTATCTGAAGAGTTGGATCACACGGGGTATATAGATCAGACAAGTTTAATAATAATAGACTTTATTTATACTCGATAATAACATGTTGAGTCAGACTCTTCTCACACATGGCCGAGAAGAGATAGCAGAGGATGTAACATAGGCAGGATTCACCATAGATGTGTAAAATTTAGATATGAATTTTCTGAAATATTGCATAAATAAATGAAAGCTTGGTATGGTAAATACATGCAATTATGTTGTCATGTTCACACCTGTAAGAAATTTGATATGTGATGTTGTTACAATATTTTCCTGCAGGGCACTGGTCGCAACAGTGATGTAGATGATCGACAGAAAGTGAGCTCATCAGCAAGGCCACTACACGGTACAGCCGTGCCTGGCAGTCGAATGCGAGGTGAACAGATGCCTGTACCAGGCACGACTCCACCCGGAGATTTCACAAGTAAGTACTTCACACAGTCACACCAAAATCTTATCAATCACCACTTATATTATGTTGGTTGTTTGGAAAAGTAGAACAATAAATGTCAAACCTGAATTAAATTCACTAGATTTTACTGAATTGTGCATCAGTTTTATTACTCATGTAATGAGAGTTGCTGATGTCATTCAATACAATAGGTAAAAGATAGCATCAAGTCTTCACAACATCTTTAATGCTAGAACCATAAATCAGGGTAGTATTCGAGAGACTTTAATTATATCTTGTAGTAAAGTCGTGTTTGTAGTATTTCTATCTTTAGTCAATTCTTCATACTGGATATGTCTAACAAAGATTCAAAAATACTTGCATATAGACATCATCCAAAATAGATCGAAGAGAAGTAATGTAGTATTTTGCCATCTAATGATTCACTGGGTGACTTGAAAAAATTGTGTACTAAGAATACATAGACAGATAAGTGCTTAATTAATAGGGCAGAACACTTGACTTTAGCACTACAGATTAAAATAACAAGCAAAAGCACATTTAATGTAGGAATGTAAAATGACATCGGCCAGGGCTAGTAGATTGTATGTCGGTGGTAATAAAAAAAACCTCCAATATTTACTTTGAAAACAAGTCAGGCTTCTAGAATTTTACTAAATTTGTGCGTAGGCTAGTTTTCTAAATAAAAGTTGTACTCTCCAGATGCTAGTTTTTTTAAGGAATAAATCTTTATATTGTTTTGTTGAATAAGTAAGTGTGAAGTATTTTTGTATGAGAAAAAAAATGTCACTTTAATATATTGTTCTGAAGAGAACATACAAACATTAATTTTAAATATTTTTAAGTATTATTCAAAGCACATATTTCTGTTTTGTTTTAAATCCCATGGCACTTTTATCATCTTTTTTAAAATTTCTTCTATTTATGATTATGGGAGTCATGGGCTTATTTCAAGTATGGAATGAATTACAATGAGGTGTGAAATTAGGATATTGTTTTAGTTAAAATGCATGGTTTTGTAACTTGTAGGAATAGTATAGACTTCGATTGTTCTTGTGTAAGGGTTATTCCAGATATAAATGTAACGGGAGAGAGAGGTTAATAATATATATTTGGATGATGGGGTCTAAAATACTTAACATTTCTATAGTTGGGCACAGAAAAAATAAATTGTAGGCTTAAAATAGCACCTCCACCCCATACATTTGTTTTTGGAATAGCCCAAGCACGCATAGTATTGGGGTGAATGTGATGATTCTGAAAATCCTACTACTGTTACAGCATCAAGATTAGTTATGAGAAAAGTACTTAATTTCTCAGATTAGACAGCACTGTTTCAAATAGGATAGTTCCTGGTGATGTGTAATTGAATGATATAGAATTGTTGATGATCTTTAGCAAAGTTTTCAAGTATCATGAACAATTGGTAATCATGCATGTTAGAATAGATAGTTGAAAATTTACGAAGCACAACAAATCTTCTTGTCAATGAATTAAAGGTACAAATCCAGAGTTAATTTGTCTGTGTTATGTTTTGTTGTGTGTATGTACTGTAATGACAGATCAGTTATCTTTATTTAAAAAAACATATATTGATGGATTAGAAACTTCATTCATGACAGTTTTCTGATCACCTGATCTGTACAGGTAATCAACCATCAAGGTATATCCAGCTGTGTTCCAACCTATGTAGACAGAATGAGAGGGAGTTTATGTCTGTACTGTTACAGTATTGTAACGTTGAATGGTATGTTCTGTGTGCGGTCTTTCCAACATTTACATAAGGATATATGCTACCTATATCTCCCTCGGCAAGTAACCTTATAATTAGCAATTTCTAATAATCCTGAATGTATTATGTACCTTTCAATGTGTCACCTGATCATAAGACCAGAGATACATTAATAGTGAAACACTTAAGAAAGGAAACAAGTGTTGCAGTGGTGTAGCATATATCCTAAAAGCAAAGTGTCTCCTATTTTTATCACTCACAAATCCTTGTGAGCTATACGTTTATCATGGTTATTAACTTGCAGTTTTGCTGTGTTGTAATGAAAACAATTTAGCTGTTCAATAACTCCTTATCAAGTAAACAGGGAATATAGTGTACATCATGTAAGCAAACTGTCATTGATTTGTAGTTCTTTGGCATTGTGTGTTGAGATAAGAATTCATCATGAAACATTGATTTCCAGAGATTCATCCCTGCATACATTTCTTTATCAAAATATTTTAAAACTTTGTTAAATTCATAACTTTGTAGATCATGCAGAGTTTGCTCACTGATTTTCCTAGAGGTGTGTTGGAAATGAAAGATGGATGTCATAATACATGCAGTATAAATGTAACAGTAAAATGTATCCATGTTTTGATAACTATTGTATAGGGATGATTCTTGCTTTTTTGCTCTTTCATAAACATCAATCTTCGTATTTCATGTGTACATTCATCATCACATATGGTGTACACTGCCATCATCTCATGTATATGTTAGTAATATTCATCATTGCATTTCATGTGTGGCATTCGTCATTATAGCATTATATTTCTACAAAATATGAATACATTGTATTAATTTGATGTAGTAACAGTTTTGACCCTATTTATCATTGTTGGGCGACACTGACGACCTCTCAATGCTGTGCGGGGTATATCTGCATGGTTGTACTCGAGTCTGGCAGCTACTGGTGTTTAGAGCTATTAGTCCTTGTCCTTCCCTCGGGAGAGTGCATGTCCTCCAGAAACTACATGTAGTAGACCTCTGTCCTCGCTCTGGACTGGCGCCCTCACTATCTAGTCTATTCTTCTCTTTCCTCGGTGCTGGTAATCGTGATAGCTGTTGAATTGCAGCATTCTCATGGAAGCACTAGTGGTTTATGTACAGTTAAAGTAACAAGGTTGGATGCATGCACTTTCGAGAATAGTCAATTGGTTTTGATGAGAAAGATTTCATCACATTTGATATTTGGAGCTTTCAACACTTTTTTTGCATAAATTCTGCACATTTTGTTTACTTCATCAACCCTGAAATTTTCTTTTACCAAAATGTTCACGACATGGATACATCATGGATACCACACTTTATCAGAATCAATATTGATTGTAGTGGTAATTGGCTTTCTTTCTATCCTCTCCTCATCCCACAGCTGTTTATATTTTCTTGCATGGCTTATATTCTTCATTGGTTGTTTGCTTTGATTTCAGCCTTTTATATTAAGTATTTTGAATAAACTTTTTGCATTTATTGCCTGTGTTTTTTATTTCTTCCGTTTTGGATGTCAATACCCCCCAAAAAATGGACTGTTTCCTGCATGGTTTTTGCACATGGCGCATGGTTTCTTTATTTTCCTTTATTTTTTCGTTTCTTTCCCCTCTGGCTCTCCTTCTTTGTGCACTTCAAAATTTTGGATTATTTTGGATCTCCGAAGTTGTAATGGTTTGTCAGCCTTCTCTTTTCTTCTTCTTTGTCATAGATGTGCGAGCGTCTTCCTCACGCACAAGGGAAAGAATGCCAACTCGCCTATCGTTGGCCACCCGTGGGCAAGAATCGAACGCTGATGTGGTTGTAACAGACAGTAAGATAAGTGAGAGTAGGCTCGCTACTCCATCTTCAGGGGGAAGGATAAGCTTTAAGGGCTCTAGCCTGCCGATCCCAGTAGGGAACCCCAGTGACAGTGCCAAACTCCGCCGCATAATGCAGGATACACGCCCCCACAATGTTCAGCTGAAGCCTAGACAAACTTGAGATTTATTGTGGTGTTGTCTGGTTGGAGAATTTTCTATAGTGTGGTGCCCATGCTCAGACAGTTAAACTAAACTGTTAACAGGGGAAAATACACGTGGCCTTTAGGAAAGTCGGTCTGCCATCATGTCTAGTCATTGAAGTTGTGTACAAATATATATATAGATGATGTATAACGATGTAAATATGTACCTTTGGGTAGGATGTATCTGTGGACTGAGAGAAGTATGGTACTATGTTGTGTTATATAGTATAAATTGGATGTAGTTATTTTGTTACCGCTGGTGTACACATATGTCTGTGTGGTACAGTTGATGCTTCAGTATACATGTACAGTAGTCATCAACTGTCCAACAACTGACTTGTGTTTCCATCCTATGTACAACACATCTGTGGTCATAGTTATGTTTGATTCAGTGGTGATTTTATCATCACTGGTTATAATTTTGATCAGGTGTTGTCTTAATGAACAATCAGTTCATATTTAGATTTTGTTATCACAATAGAAGTTCCAACCAACTTAGATAATTGTACCGTAAAAATCCTAGCAACCTGTAATTCAACATAAGGATGAATAAAACTGTTTTAATTGGACGAATTCCAGAAGTAAACATTTCTACAATAATTCAAAAAGATCATTTTAAAACAATGATTTTTCGTTATACATAAACAGAGGTTGTATGGGTTGTTTGTGGTATCTTTATATTACAAGTGGGGATTTGTATTTTATAGCTTGGACTCTCATCATATGAGCAGCCATTGAAACAAAATATCTATTTTCAAGGTTCATTGAGTGAACATACCATGTATGGAAGATTTCTAGTTGAATTATGTGTACATTTTCATTTGTAAATTTATGTTGTCCTTCAGTCCAACAATCCTAACATGCTAAGGCCTAAATCTATGTGCTGGTAATCTTCATTATAGCAAGCACTAGCTATCGTTTAAAAGTCATGTCATCAAATACCTTCCTGGTTTATGTCATGTTATGATAGGCCTGTTGGCAATTTAAAAACGTACTTCAATAACATTCATGTATAGTCACTAATGTGTTCAACTAGAAATGTTCGCTAATATGTTTTGTTGGCAGGTTCCTTGAACTGCAAAAAATTGTGAAAACGACCAATTGATAAGAAAATTGCATTATATACATCAGTAAAACAAATTATTGGAGTTAAAAAAGAGAATGAGAGTTTCCTAAAACATTGGCTGTTTTCAAGGTCAGACTGGTGGATTTAATTGTAAGTGTATAACGTTACGGTCAATGGAGACGTTGGTGATGCAGCACTTATATGAAGATTTAAAAGATAAACATAATAAGTACAGTAGAAGTGTGGCAGATGTTTGTGTCATTGATCCACTCTCATTGTACAATAGCTAGCATCTGATTAAGTCATGCAACATTTAGTGGCCTACATTGTACCGTATTCATATTTCACTGAGCAGTATCATGGTTTATTGAAAATACAATGTATTGTAAAACCTTGGTTAAATTTGGATACCCTGAATTGAGGCTTGATCATCAAGTCTTTTCCTAGCTAATTAGATCATCTAAGTCTTCTCTAACCAGAATCCTGTCATATTCATCATCAGTGTTTTCCTCATCACTTGTATTGCCTGACTTGGCCAACTTCTCTCATTATCTGCCTGTATTTTTGATCATCATCAGTGCAGAGCCAGGCATGGCCAGCTGTCTGCATTCATCTCATTGTGTAGCTGTCTGTTTTCATCCAGCTCTTCCTTGCATCATCACTGTAGCACCAGGCTTGGTCATCACCAGTGAAGCATCAGGACAGTGTTTCACTAGACTTGCCAACTCTCATCTACATGTATCATCGGTTTAGCACCAGGCTTAGCCAGACCTGTCTTACTTTCATCATAAGTGACGTCAACATGCTTGGCTTGGCCAGCTGTCTGCTTTCAGCCTTTCAGCATATTGAAAAAATAGCAGCCCCAAGTGAAGATTAAGCTGTCTGTTCCATCAAAATGGCAGCCCCAGGTTTAGACTAAACTGTTTACTTTAATCACCAGTGCAGCCTTAGGCTTGGCCAATTGTTTACTTTCATCATCAGTGCAGCCTAAGGCTAAGCAAGCTCTGTTTAGATCATCTAAGTCTTCTCTAACCAGAATCCTGTCATATTCATCATCAGTGTTTTCCTCACCACTTGTATTGCCTGACTTGGCCAACTTCTCTCATTATCTGCCTGTATTTTTGATCATCATCAGTGCAGAGCCAGGCATGGCCAGCTGTCTTCATTCATCTCATTGTGTAGCTGTCTGTTTTCATCCAGCTCTTCCTTGCATCATCAATGTAGCACCAGGCTTGGTCATCACCAGTGAAGCCTCAGGACAGTGTTTCACTAGACTTGCCAACTCTCATCTACATGTATCATCGGTTTAGCACCAGGCTTAGCCAGACCTGTCTTACTTTCATCATAAGTGACGTCAACATGCTTGGCTTGGCCAGCTGTCTGCTTTCAGCCTTTCAGCATATTGAAAAAATAGCAGCCCCAAGTGAAGATTAAGCTGTCTGTTCCATCAAAATGGCAGCCCCAGGTTTAGACTAAACTGTTTACTTTAATCACCAGTGCAGCCTTAGGCTTGGCCAATTGTTTACTTTCATCATCAGTGCAGCCTAAGGCTAAGCAAGCACTGTTTACTTTCACCATCCGTGCACCCTAAGGCTAAGCAAACTCTGTTTACTTTCATCATCAGTGCAGCCTAAGGCTAAGCAAGCTCTGTTTACTTTCATCATCAGTGCACCCTAAGGCTAAGCAAACTCTGTTTACTTTCATCATCAGTGCAGCCTAAGGCTTGGCCAGCTGTTTACTTGCATCATCATGGCAGCCTAAGGCTAATCAAGCTATGTTTACTTTCATCATCAGTGCAGCCTAAGGCTAAGCAAGCTCTGTTTACATTCATCATCAGTGCAGCCTAAGGCTTAGCCAGCTCTGTTTACTTTCATCATCAGTGCAGGCTAAGGCTTAGCCAGCTCTGTTTACTTCCATCATCAGTGCAGCCATAACGCTTAGCCACCTCTGTTTACTTTCATCATCAGTGCAGCCTTTGCCAGATTTGTCACCTCCATTGGTTTCATCGTCATTGTTTCACCAGACACAGCATAGAGTTAACCAACTTCATACATTCTTTATACATTCATAACATTTATCATTAGATTTTACCATTCATCACCAGATCTATATATATATACCCTTGGATCATGGATGATTCTATAAATATTGCATATACAGATGTAGCATATAGCCAATCAATCTTCTTGTTCTCAAAAAGAAATCATCACGTTCAATACATTCGAAAAGCAGGAAATTCTTTGATTTTTATATCTCGACCCCTTTTTTAACTGAACACTGTTTAACGCTAGTTATTTCTGTGGCTTGATTTTATGTACATGTCCCAACAGACATGGAAGAAGGCATACTTGAGTTATCAGAATTAGCTATAAATACGCAAGAATGGAAGTGGTCTGAAGTTTTACTTTGTAATCATACAAGTCATTGTCATAACTGGAGCTAAGTGTATGAACCTATGTTGTAGTCAATGACAAGAATTGTTGACAGTACATGTTGTTTCTGGGCAGGTCAATTCGCTATTACATAAGTAGCAATATACACTGTCTAGAAGTTGTATCATGGGTTTTTTAATAAATAATGGACAAGTGTAGAGATATTGAAAGGCGTTTCTTTTTTGCGGGGTTCTAATTTTCGCAATCTTTCGCTTTAACAAATTATCCGCAAAACCCCCCACATCTTGCCTAATCAATTAAAATTTTGTCCACTTTTATCACTTAAGCACTATGTGCCAAAACCACTGAAAACCAATGTAAAAATCCTTAAGAATTGACCATTTGCACAAACCTGTGAAAATCAGAGACCATGAGAAAAAATCCAACCTTTAAACTTTATAGTTTAGTTATTACCGTAGTACAGGAAATTTTGCTTAGCTTTGGTCATTATATATTCATATATGAAATCATAACATTGTCAATAGTTATAGGTTGAACTAGGTGTAAATGGACAGGATGCATTTCAGTAACATGGTGGAAAAAATGGAAAAAATAAAATTTGTGATTGTAATGCTGTGTTGTTTATCTCTCCGTGTTTTACCTTATGTAATAAGTACATTACTCGAGGCCACTGTAATTCTTCACATCCAGACATATATCAGATCCATGACATTAGAAAGTCAATGATTTACTGCTAATATGCCAATGCTTTGCATTATGACACACATTTGTTCAACTATGAAGGTTATGTGTAGATCTTGAGATATATATAGGGCGAGACTAAGAACAAGTCTAGGACTGATTGTACCCCTTATGGACTAGCTGACCATCACTGGTAACTTGTAGTAAATATTCTGAGAGGTACACATCATTTTGAATGATATTTTGTAAATTTTTGCTCTCATATATAGTATGTTATCATGGCGCTGGTCTCTTCAGACGGTTTGTAAGGATCAAAATAGTATGATATATTGGATGTGGCCCCCTCTGTATGTTGAATACCTGATCAACCACATCCATCTCGGTATGTTAAATACCTGATCCATGACACTGTAAGTGAGGGTTATTGTAAAGTTCAACTTTTGCCAATATTATTGACACAACAGATAACATTTTAAAGTTTGAAGTTTGTAATAAATGTGTAAGGATGTCACAATTATTCTGAACTGGCAGATAGTTCACTGTATCAACATGGTTTCTGGAAATGTTACATTTGTGAAAAATAGAACCATGTGAAAAATGGATGCATAAGAGTGATACTTCATTTCCTTGAATTGCTAATAGGTATATATGTACACTTGGTATATATGTACACTTGGTATATATGTACACTTGGTATATATGTGCACTTGGTATATATGTACATTTGGTATATATGTACACTTGGTATATGTACACTTGGTATATATGTACACTTGGTTTATATGTACACTTGGTATATATGTACACTTGGTATATATGTACACTTGGTATATATGTACACTTGGTATATATGTACACTTGGTATATGTTCACTTGGTATATATGTACACTTGGTTTATATGTACACTCGGTATATATGTACACTTGGTATATATGTGCACTTGGTATATATGTACACTTGGTATATGTACACTTGGTACAGCAATTGCACCATGTTTAGATCCTTAAATCAACAGAATTTTGTTATTTCTTGAAAACACAGACAATTAATTGATTTCTTTTAATTTTGACCCAAATGTACTCCAAAAGTCTTATTTTCGCATGGATCTCATGTTCCTTGTAACAGCTTTCCTTTGAAAAAATTCTGATAATGAGACTGGTTACTACGCATACAGAAACAAGAACTGCTCCTTTCAGATTCAAAGTAGTTATTTTAAAGTGCTATTGCTTTCTATAACATATTATAAAAAAATCTGCACAACTTGCGTCAATATTTAACAGAAAATCATCTTCTGATACCTTATGGCAACATTGACTATATTTACAATAAAAATATGATGGTAGTTTGAAAGTTTCAAAAACATTGGAAATTTTGAAGAGGACAATTCCGTGTAAAAGAGATCACTTTAATATTTCTGTGTGAAAGAATTATGTTCTATTATAAGTATAACAACCATTTGTATGCTCTGCAGTTTGTGTGTGTGAATGTTAGTAAGGATACAATTTTAGGTGTTACGTTGGTTAAGTTATATTAACAACTTATATGATGTTGGAAACATTATCAAAACCAGATTTTAAGTTGCTTTTGATATTATTTAAATAAGTTTAAGTATCTTTTCTCTCTCTTTTATCTCAATAATTCTTTTTGGAAGGGAAAGCATATGTTTAATTATGGTACTCTGTGTTTGTAGCGGAATCTCCTCGGCCCTTCTCTAGGGAGCGTGAAAGACGAACAAGTACTAGACTTCACAGAGGAATTCCGACCGGAGCTGAGGCGCAGCGTGAGGCGGCTGCACGAGTGTCCACTGCTCCCATGCAGCCGGGTATGATGCCAATGAACTCTGCCATGAGGCGAGGAAGTGCTTCTAAAGATGGCGAAGTGCCAGCCCGGACTGGCTCCTCTCGACATACAAGGAAATGAGGATAATCGTCGAGACTGTTGGTGAGACCAGGAAACGAGGACAACAGTCCGACTGGTGGCGAGTCAAAAGCGCTGTGATGGATTTGATACGAGGGATTAACACTTGCCTTGTTTCATCTCTCTTAGGCCCAACTTGGGAGTGTTGTAGGTCTCTCCTGAAAGGGTAGAGGATGTCGGGATCATTGTGTATTTTGAAAGTCGTCTTCTCAGTGGCAGTTGATCATGTCAAATGTGTCTACTTTTTGTTTCAGTTGGGAGTAGATGATTCACGATTTTCATTGTATGTGAATTTTACGATTCTGAGAGACCTTTCCAACACAATTGCTAAAAAAAACATTTAGTGCCAAGTTTTGACATTTGTATTGAAATCTTTTGTTTTCATTCTTCAAGGGTTTTGCTTTTCTGAAAAACAACATAGAACTGTGGCAATAGTTTGGGTTGATGAGTTGCTGTGTAAAATACTGTACAAGTTTACGATTTTAAATTAATTTAAAAACTTAGCATTATTGTGATATAATGTGTTGAAATAATCTTAACTATGGGAATAAAGATTAGAATATGATCATGATATTTCTGAAATAGAACGTTGACACGAATTCTTTTAATATTAATGTCGGACCAACAATATGAAGGAAACATTTAAGAGCATGATGAAAATGCTTGTGGTTATTTTAACATATAGATATGTTTAGAGATGAGTGAAAAGTAATGTGTGATTTTATGTTGCATGAATGGTAATAATTGTGTGAATGTCAATATGTGTGATGTATTTCTGTACATAGATCTTTTATAATTCCTTATCCTATTTTTTGCCGATGTGAGTAAACGTTCATAAAAGGAGACTAATTCTAGAGTAATGTATGAACATATCTACATGTGTGTATTTATTGACAAAACAAGGATTCTAAGATCTGTTTTTATCAGAGTCTGAAATGTATTGCTACGTTTTCTTCTTTTGTCGGTGTAACTGCAATTTGTCGTCACGCAAGAAAGAGATACAAAC